GAGGAGGAGGAGGAGGAGGAGGGGGGAGGAGGAGGAGGAGGAGGAGGAGGGAGGAGGAGGAGGAGGAGGAGGAGGAGGAGGACGAGGAGGAGGAGGAGGAAGAGGGAGAGGAGGAGGAGGAGGAGGGGGAGGAGTAGGAGTAGAAGGGAGGGCACGATCTCTGACACATGCCCGCGGGGTCCGCTGCTTGCGGCCGTGTGGTGCGCGGTCTCCCGCTGGAAGGGCCGGCGGCACTGGTATGGACTGGCGGAGAGTGGGCGGGGCACCAGCCCTGATGTATATATATATATATAACACGGGCTGCGGATGTCCGGTGCTACGGGGGGTTGGCGGCATGGGATGGCGATGAGAGTGGCAGGTCTACGACCGAGTGTGAAGGGCTTGGGAAGATCATGAGAGTGAAGAAGCTGGAGAAGGCGATGATAAGATGATAAGGTTTTGGGAAGATGATAAGGTGGTGTTGGGGTTGGCAGCAGCGGATGGCGATGAGAATGGCGGGTCTACGATGGAGCGTGGAGGTGGTGGGAAGATATAAGAAGGGAAGGAGGTCGGAGGAGGATGAAAGGATGCTCGGGGGAGCCACGAGCCCCCCCTTCTGGGATGTGGGGAGGCATCCTCCTCCACCTCTTGCCCTGCGACCGCCGCTCTCCCCCCTCCTCCGCTCGTGGAAGGAAACAACGGCATACACACATGAGTGGCTGGTGCTCCGCGCGGATTTCTTGGAGCTGCGCTGGAGCGCCCTGGCGGCGGCTCCGGCGCCGCCCCTGGCGCGTTCCGCGCGCGCCAGGGAGGGGGCCCAGCTCCTCAGATCCCAGAAGTCCGCGGGCCGCCCGAGGTTTCTGTGTCGTCTCTTCCTCGCCCTTTTTCTGGTCGCAGTGCTCCCGTGCATTGACATTACATTCGAACCCTGTGGCCCAAGATGCCCCCCAGACCCCCCGAAATTAATATTGATGGCGTGGCTACGGGGGGGGCGTGAGTGGACAGAAATACTCGAACCCCGAAGCACCGCCTTTGCTGAGATCAGCACTGATGTCGGGGGCGCGGGGTGATTTAGAATCCCCCTCGAATTCGTCAGGGTTCGAATAGATTGTCCATCTACTGTCCGCCTCCTCCTCCCTCCTCCTGCTCCTCCTCCTCCTGCTCCTCCTCCTCCCCCTCCTCCTCCTCCTCCTCCTCCTCCTCCTCCTCCCCCTCCTCCTCCTCCTCCTCCTCCTCCTCCTCCTCCTCCTCCTCCTCCTCCTCCTCCAACTCCTCCCCCTCCCCCTCCCCCTCCGAGCCCGCGCGTTTCGCCCGCCGCCCCTCGCCCGGGGCTCGGCACCGAGCTGCAGCGGGACCCCCCCGAGGGCTCGACGAGCCAGGGGCCCGCAGGCGGGCCCCCGTGCAGTGCCCACGGGTGCCGCCAGCAGCTGCCGCGAGCTCGCCAGCCGAGCGAGCCGAGCCCGCGTCTCCAGAGTTATGTCGGGCCTGTCCCTCTACAGGTGGGAAATTCAACAATAGTCTAAGAATAGTCTGGAGACAATTGTTTGTGATTGTTGTTTGACCATGGTTTGGAATCTGTGTTGAGTATGTTTTATTTGTCGTCGAACATCCCCCTGTAGGGGGACACGCCCGACTGAACTCTAGCGTTGTGGAAGTCGAGTAATGGAGAGGAAACATGCTGCCAAACAATTTCCAGATGTCCAAAAGATGTTTCAATTATGTTCTACAGATGGTGTTAAAACATGCTTGACACATGTTTAGAACATGTTTCACAAATGTTAACCATTTTCAACTCACTGATAGGATTGTTAGAGCGTCCATTGTCATGGCATCCACAAGTCTAGAGCAGAGGGCGCACCAGTTGCCGAGGCTTCCGACTCCTCCCTCCGTCCCCGCGCGTCACCCGCCTCCCCTTGCCGGCCTCGGGGAGACCAGCCCGAAAGCGAGGAGTCGAGCAGTGGCGAAGCGTCCAGGCGTGCCTATAGGCCTATCAATCGATGTTCTACGAACCTTGTGTGGCTGCCGCGAGATGTGCATAGAACAGTTCTGGCTGGGACCGTCTTGTTTTCACACACTGGGTCTGTGGTCGAAGGGCATTGCTTTTTTGTTCTTCGAACCTTGCTGGGCTCTGGGAGAATTTCGTGGTAGGCCAATAGAGATGCCGGGACGGTCGGTTCTTGCTCAAAACTTGGACGCCCGAAATGGGTACGGAAAGAATGGGTACAATGCCCACAAGCAGTTCCTGTTCATTCTGAACAGGGCTCGCTGTCCGCGCCGCCGCGGCCCGTGTCCATGCGAGGCAGAAGGCCGCCCGCCCAACAGCGGCCGCTGCTGGTTTGGGACAGCGTTGGTTGTTGGGCAGTGTGCCCATCCTTTCCCTGCCCTCTTCGGGCGTCCAAACAACAGGAGGGCAGCGGCAGGGCACGGGGAGGGCCGCGGCCCGCGGCTCACGGCCACCGCCTGGGGGGGCGCCCTGCCAGCCTCCCGCCTCGCCCGCCTCGCCTGGCCTCGCCTCGCCTCGACGCCGCCTCGGCGCCCTGGGCCCAGACATGATCCCAGACCTCCGGCGTCGCGAGAAACTCACGACGAAGGTTTTTGACTATGTTCGGCCTCTGGAGGCCCTCGCTGGGCCTCGGGAGCGTCAAAAAACGACTCGGGATGAAAAACCTGTCCCAGGGAAGGTCTCCAGACTTCGGGGGGCCGACGTCGTGAGTTTCTCGCGACGTCGGGGGTCTGGGATCGCGTCGTCATAGAAATCAGGACGGCACGTTTGTCGCTATTTTCGGCCGCTGGGGGCCCTCGCCAGGTCCCGGGACCGTCAAAAAACGATTCGGGATGAAAAACCGGCCCCGGGGAAAAGGTGTGGACTTGCGGGGACGCCGTATTGAAAAAACCCGGACGTCGCATGTCTTGGGGGGGCTGGTCCGATCGTGGCCGTCGGCGGCGGCCCCCCTGCAGGGAGAGGAGATGCGCTGGCGGAAGCACTACCTGGAGACCCTGATGCTGACGCGGTGATCAGGGGAACAGGCAATGACAGAAACACAGAAGCTCGAAGGTCCTCGCTGATTTCTCGGACCGGCGCCCGGACGCTGGCGGTAATCCGTCAACCTCGCTACCGCCTGGGAACTCGTGGAGCTCCCAGTCGCTTGTCATGGCCGTCGTGAAAGAAATCAGATCTCTTGGAAGGAAAGAGCGAAGCTGCAAGTCAGAGCCACGTCAACAGCGCTACAACATCAGTCTGAGTCTCCAGACTAAAAACCCCCTCCCTGGCGTGCGGAGCGCGCCAGGGGCGGCGCTGGAGGCGCCGTCATGGGACCCCCTGTCTGTGCCGGCCGATCCGAGGAGTCCGCGCGGGCTTTTGAGCTTTCGTGCCTGCGTCCTTGTATGCTCGGGGGCGGAAAAGAGGGGGGTGATGACTAGGGGGGGGGTGGATATCATGGCGCGGGCCATGATATTTCCCCAGATTTCATGGCGCCTCTTCTTGTTTCATTACGTCCCTGGCCCCCCCGCTGGGCCGCGCACATGCCGCCGGTCATGATTTGCACCCCCCCCTCTTGGACACCCCCCTCTTTGCCGCTCCCGATATGCTCCCCGAGTGATGCGCCTCCCTTCGCCGCGCGCGCGTTCCCCTCGTCGCAAAGTGCCAACTCGCGAACGTTTGCTTCTGCGCAACACGTCGTCAGTCCCTTGCGGCGGATCTCTGCTATTTGCGAGTAGCGGCTTTGCGAGCACAGTCAACCCGCACAGTAAGGATGGGCAACCTTCCCAAGGGTACCGCTTGCACCCTGGCCTCCTCGGTCCATCCTTGGCCACTTGCGCTGGCCGCGCCCCGCTCGAGAAGCTTCGCCATGGCCGCCCAAGGCCCGTGCATCCGCACTGCGCATCCTTATGACACGGGCCGGCTGCAGCTTCCTTTGCGAGCGGTGGAGCGCGCTTGTCTGTCCACTGCCTTCTCTGTCAAGCAGTGTCGAAGCGTCCCGGCTCGCCTTTCGTCCCACCAAACAATGTTCTAAGAACCTTTTGCGGTTTCCACGAAGTGTTCTCAGAACAGTTCTGGCTGGGACTGCCCTGTTTCGACACACCGGGTGTCTGTTCTTAGAGCAGTGTTTTCGCTCTCGGAGCATTTTCAGGTTCTAAAAAACACTTCTGGGGGAACCAGAAGTGGCATCAACATAACAATTCGGAGGTCCGCGCGGACGTCTCGGATCGGCGCTGGCCCCCCCCCTCCCTGGCGCGCGGAGCGCACCAGGCTCCTCCTCTTACGCTCAACTCCACGCCCTCCTCCGCTCACCCACCCGCACCGATCCCTCCCGACAGCCCCTCTTCCTCCTCCTCCTCCTTCTTCTCCTCCTCCTCCTCCTCCTCCTCCTCCTCCTCCTCCTCCTCCTGGTGCCACTTTTTGTTCCTCTCATGTCGTGGCAGGCCCGCAGAGATGCCAGGGCGGGCGGTCCCTGCTCTGCTCCGGCGGCGGCCTCGGGCGGCCTCCTCCGGGCTGCGCGGCGTGCGTGCGGCGGCGCGGCCAGGCGCCCGGGGAGCCGCACCGGGGGGTGCCGGGCGGCGGGTCGGGGGGAGCGGACGGGGGGAGGCTCAAGTCGGGCCTGTCCCCCTATACAGGGGGATTTTCGACGAAAGCAAAAATACGCCAACAATAGTCAAAAAATCGTCCAAAAATAGTCTGGGGACTATTTTAGGAGTATGTTTTGACCTTTTTTTGAGCATTTTTGGGGTATGTTTTATTTTTCGTCGAAAATCCCCTGTAGGGGGACAGGCCCGACTTAAGGGTAGGCAGGGCTGCTCTCGATGCCTCCGATGCGATGTCGATGGCGTCCGATGCCGAGTCGATTCGACTTGGGATTCCGAACCGGGCTCCGAGTTCTCAACGGAGGCCTACTATGGCCTGCCGAGTTCCGCCGGTTCGATTTCTCCCGGCTAGGCTGCCGATTTCCGCCGATCCGATGCGTTTCGATCGCCGATCCGATGTGTCGATTCAACTCTGGGCTCTCCTCTGGGGGTAGGTCAGGGGCAACGTCAGGGGGGGAGACAGGTGGACCGAGGTAGAAGACGGAGGCCGGTTCGGGGAGGGCACCCCGGTGTTCATCGTGTTTGTGGGATGTTCTTTAAGGACTCTGGGGAGGGCACCCTCAGATGTTCTGTTTGCTTTGGCCGACGGAGGGTCTCATGCTCCGAGGGGACACTCTTTTTGCCCCGGTCCGATTGCGGGCTTACGGGGTGTGTGATGCATCGACCCCCACTGGCCCACGGATCGCCGAGAGGGGCCAGATAGCCCACTCTTCGCACCAGCGTGCGAATTCGCGGTCGGAGACCGATGCAGTGGGGGCGCGCATCCAGAAGCCATATAATTTTGGTCAGGGTATCCTGGGTTTCTTCGCTCCTCGCGCTGCGCGGTGACATCCCGCAGCCGTTGAAGGAGCTGCCTTCAGGGTGCTCCGGGGTTCCACTCAGGCGTACCTCGCGCGCGGGTTCTCAGGGTTGGGTTTCTTGCGAGGGTTTCTTGCGGCCGCGCTCGCACTGTACAGTGGAGACCCATGCCAAGAGACACCCTGCTTGCCTCCAGGGTGCCCTGGGTCTCTTGGGTTTCGATGGTTCTGATAGGGAGAGCCTGACGCTCCCACACCAGAAATCAGTGTACGCCCTGGGGTCTCATGGTTGGGTTGCTTGTGGAAGGTTTCTTGTGGTCGAACTCCTGCTGTAATCGATAGATCCGCGACGTATCGCCGTTTCCAGCCAGCCCCCCCACCCCCCCTGCCGTGAGCCAGCCCCCCCGCTGACGTTCCCCTCAGCAGTCGCGCCTCGAAGGCGTGCGCGGCATGCGCATCCTCCCGAGGGGGCGCATGTCGGGCTGAACGCTCTGGAGTCTGTTGGCATCGTCATACGTCCGTCCGCGTAATCCTGATATGGAGGGCGAGCCAAGCATCGAGTGCGATCGGAGAGTCAGGCGATCGCAAACATGGATCATCGGGGCGTATATTGGCGACGGGGCCCGTTTCCATTGTGAATCGCGGATTTCCGCCGCCAGACGAGGCACCCCGATCCGTGGATTTGGCGACCGCGCGCCAATAAATCCATGGATCGCTAATCCATGTTTGCGCGCCCCCGAGAGAGAGAGAGAGAGAGAGAGAGGAGGCGCTGCACACCAGGGGGCGGCCACGGCGGCAGGAAGAGCTGTTGGGGGGGGGGGAAGGCATCAGAGGGGTAGGTGGCACGAGCAGCTGGGGTCTGCAGCGGGAACAGCGGGGTGGAAACAGTCAAGTTTTCAGCAGGCTCGAGGAGGATGTGGAGGCACGAGGGAGGAGGAGGGAGGAGGAGGGCGGAGGGAGGAGGAGGAGAAGGAGGGGGGAGGAGGGAGGAGGAGGAGGGAGGAGGAGGAGGAGGAGGAGGGGGGAGGAGGGAGGAGGAGGGAGGGAGGCGGATGGATGATGATGATGATGAGGAGGAGGAGGAGGAGGGAGGAGGAGGAGGAGGAGGAGGAGAGGAGGAGGAGGGAGGAGGAGGAGGAGGAGGGAGGAGGAGGAGGAGGAGGAGGAGGGCCGCGGGCCGTCAAACGAGGATGGTGAATGAGAAGCCAGAGCCGAGGGGTGGGAGCTGGAGGTTTGACACAGAAGCCAAGCCGACGCGCAACGTTGGGTTCCCAGGGGCTTCCTTGACCTGCGAAGGCCTCCAGAGGCACGAGTGCGAGTTGTGCATGTTTACCGCATTTACTCGCACTCGAGCCGAGCATCGCTGCTGCTGCAGCGCGTGACGGCACACATTGCGCACGAGTAACAGGCGTGGACGCATGCATGCATGCACCCCTTGCGCGAAGATGTTGGGCAAGAGGCGCCAGAACATGTCGATCCCCGATCGGGGAAAAGCCGACCCGCACAGGAAGGATGGGCATCCCTCCCAAGGGTACCCTTGCATCCTTGCCTCCTCGGTCCATCCTGCGCCACTAGCCGCCGCCACGGCTGAAGCACATTGAAGGCGGCCATAGACCGACACAGTGTCCTTTCATAACATGACCTGTCAGGTCTGATGCCACACCATGGGCTGCTGGTGGCCATCATGGCCGCGGGAGCCTGCCTGCAGCTCAAATTGGAAAAATGCTCACGGGAGATGGGGGGGACCCCAACGCCGCCTCAGCTGCTACCTCATGTATGGCGATGCGGGCACTACAATCCCCTCTCTTCCTCCCGCCGCGACAGACAGGAGGACATCAACCTGGCGTGCGAGAACTTCGACTGCGTCACGCTGGTGGGCACCACTCAGCGTGCCACACTGCGGGTGCAACAACGCCGACTTGGACGACGATGGCAGGTGGAGGGCGGCTGGTGCCCTGGACAGTACACTAACAGTTCGGCAGGCATCACAATGACCTTCGGATGTAAGATCAAGCAGCGACATCTTCGACGTATCACTGTACCTGGTGCAGCTCTGGCTGGCCGTGGTCTTGCGGTACGCGTCGCCTCTTCCTTCTACGTCTTTACCATCATTGGAGTCCACTTTCCACCGCGAGTGAAGACAAAAGCAGAGGGCCCCAAATATGATCGTACAGTACGTGGCCTCATTGATTGGATCGCGGAAGTCCTGGCCAAGACCCCGAGCAGAAGCGTCCCGATATTATGCACGGATCTGAATGATGGAAAGGGAGTGGTACCTCCTCTTGCAAGTACGAACATTGAGACGGAGGCCATTAGTGAATACGGGGCGCGGACAGAGCACCTGGCTGGACAATTGTTACGCGAGTTACTGGGGAGCCACTATATGACAGCTCGCAGTGCGGATTATGGACAATCTACTTGGTATGGAACGAGTGGCGTGGAGACTCTCATTGACTACATGTGTGTACCCACGAGTTTAGTATGCAGCAGTATGGGCACCTTGGGCCACTTGTCGAGACAACTTCAGCTTATCGGCACCCGAGTTCGCCGAAACCATATGTTTTTACACCTCAAGTTTCAGCTGCCGACGTGGACGGCCGCAAACAAAGCGAAAGCAACACGCACGAGATGGGACCGAGACAAAATGCTGGAAGCCTTTCATGGCGATTCGATTCGAGATGATTTTATTCAAGCTGTGGAAGAGCGCTTCACCCAGGACGAGGACTTGATGCGAGACTTGAAGACCCGCACGCTCCCCGATCCGCTGTGGGCCCAGATTGAAGGCGTGATGATGGAGATTGGTGAAGAGTTTTTTACGGCTGAGCGAGTTGAAGATGAAAGATATACCGCACTACAGGCACATCGTCGACAACTGCTACGCCAGCGCCAAGACCTACGAGTCGCACTGGGCCACACAGCACCAGCTGTTATTTCAATTGGTGAATCTCATATCAGATGCAGGCCAAATGCCATCGGGTTGCCCCCAACTGGCGATCAGAACGCGTACGAGGCTCCACAAAACTTAGTGCCAGACCACAGTGCATCCGAGCTGACACCTCAGTCAGATGAAGAGCGACGAGTTTCGGAGGAATTGCGAGCCCTTTCACGCCACATGAAGCGAGAACGTATTCTGGACTGGAAGGCTTTTCAAGAGAAGACTATCAATGAGATGTGGGAAGCATGGAGGAAGCGCAAACTTTTTGATGTGTATCGTTTGGCCAGGCGAGCGGCAGGCGGCAAGTTTGGCACCAAGCGTCGACCTTATCTAGCAGCACAAGTCGCCCCGCCGTCGGAGAAGGAATGGCTGGACCAGCTTTCGCGACCTGGCTGTGAAGGAGGCACGCAGGCGACTCTGATCCCGTCTTGGATCAACTTTGCCAGAGCTCGAGTGCATGAAGACCTCACACCTGATTCAACCAGCCCGTTAGACGAGCAGTTCAGAAAACAAAAAAAAAAAAGCCAAGTCGGATGTTTGTAAACTCGAAAGATGGGCTCTGAGAGCTCCCAAGAGAAAGGCTGTCCCTAGCTGGGCCGCGCCTGTTGAGCTTTTGGCGATACTTCTGGTCCCACCCACGGTCGCCTCGCATCAGAATCGAGGGTTGGGGGCTCCGGAGCCCGAGTTGGACGCGCCAGTTTTTAGATCTATTTTGGAAGATGCCTGTCTCAGAATTCGAACCAGTATGCGTACACCTGTTTTTTGGCACTCTAGCATGGGGGTCTCTTGGGCAAAAAAAGCCGACGGGACTTCTTTTGGGGGAACGGCCTCGGGGCTTCGTACTATCCACCTCCTCCCTCCGCTCGGTAAGGGCTGGTACTCCACTCACTCTACGACCCCCGAGATGCCTCCCCAAGTGCTTGGTTTTTTTGCCACGTAGATGCAAAGAGAATGCAATTGCCAACTCTCTGATCATGATGTGGCGTATCCGTCGCGCTGGCCGCTTAGGTTTGGTTCGCCTTCACGACCTCACGAATGCCTTTGCGAGTGTGAAGTGGGCAGACATGCGCGCCGCTGCGGTGGAGCTGATGGAAGACGGCCTCGCAAGTCTTGGCTGCCAGCGATTCGAGGAAGCAGCAGTAACTCTGCAGTGCGAGGAGGGCCCCCGTTTTTTCAAACCAGGCTGTGGAGGCATGATGGGGGATCCTTATATCGTACGCCAGTTTGTGCAGAGTTTCCAGACTGCCATCCAGGATTGGGGAAAACGTTTGGAGGCGGAGGGGTTGGTTACTTCGGAGTTGGTGGCTCAACGCCCTTTCCTGGATCGTGCAGTAGATGTGTCACTTAGTCTCTATGCTGATGAAATTTTGAAGTTTCTTCTGGGAGGGCCCCACCAAGGGATTCAGGACCTTGCTCAGTCGAGCGAGCGAGCCAACGCCCTCCTGGATCTGGCTCTGGCCGAAATCGGCTGCAAGCAAAACATGAGTAAGCAGGAAATCATTCCAGTGCTTTCGGGGCCTGGATCGGGGACCGACGCGCGTGAGCTTCGCATGGAGAGGGTTTCCCTTCCCGCTCCGCACAGCACGCACGCTCGCTATTTAGGGGGACGTATTGGCGCTAACTGTAGCTATGCAGTAGAATTCACATACCGCAAGAAGGCGGTGGCGGCAGCTTACTACTCGCTAGGAGCTTCTTGGTCTTTTAAGCACACCCCGTGGAGGGTGAAGCGCACACTTCTTATATGCTGTGTACAAAACACTGCACTGCACTCTAACGAAGCCTACATCTGCTCTAAGCAACAGTATATAGAATTAGATCATCTGGTAGCACGCTATGCTAGACGAGCGATGAGAGGAGCAGCCCATGAAATACGAGAGACCAAAACTGGACAGCAGCATCGTGCACTGAGCACAGCACAAGTACTGGAGCATTGGCGAATGGCACCCGCGAGTCTTGAGATGCGGGCGCGGCGCCTTCGGAGGTATCAGACCATGATCGCCCACCAGTGGAGAAATGGCCAGATTCTCACCTCCATGCTCGGACACTTCTCGTTCGAGGACACACCGACGCTGATTGGTGGTGACTTGAAAAAGGATGCGAATCCGTGGGCGCTACAGCTTCGACAGGATATACAAGAGGGAGTAGAGGGACTTGGTGATGAGGGCGGTTATCTTGGGGTATGTGTGCGATCGGGGTGGACAGATATTCACAGATGAGGAGGTGAAGGAGGAGTTTCTTAATCAAGATTTTACTGTATTGCGTAAAGGAGTTTATATGTCAGCCATACCGCCACCAGAGTGGCATCCAGACCAGCTACCCACTCAAACTAGTACTACTGCACCTACTGATAAGGGTGGAGGAGGATGGAAATGTGGATTTGTCTTGGAAGATGGTTCGAAATGCTCGGCTTGCTTTGACACATATAAGGCTGTAACACAAGATCGAATGGCTAAACATGGACAGCGTAACGTGTGGACAAGAATCGTGACCACGAATGTCTGCCCCTTTTGCCTTACCACGTTCTCGTGTGTGAAGACGGCTCAGAGACATCTCTTATCCAGTGTGGCTCGGGGTGGACATTGTCTTGATCGCTCACGCTATATTGGTGAGCGCCATCATCCCGATCGTGTTGATTGCCATCTTTGTGATTTTCGGGCTCAAACCTTCGAGCAGGTGCAGGAGCATCTACACAGTCACGTGCCTCCATTCAAAGGATTATCAGAGTTGGAACCGACACATCCACCTCGCTATCGGTATGCCGCCTTTTGCAGTCGCCGCGCCATCTTGGGGACTGAAGCGCGGGGCCGAACCAGCTCAAGGCGCCGAGGGACCAGATCGAAATAAGCACATCCAGGATCTGCTGGCAAAGGGAGAGGACGTGAGCACAGTCAATAAGTTGCTCATCGTACTCACAAAGTTAAGCCTGACAAGCGCGGCCGAGATCAGAGAGATCACGGGCATGCTGTGGAACACGGTGCTCGTCGAAGTCAAGTCGCCCATCGCCGTCGAGATGATGGCTCAAGGGAAGTCATGCCACGAGGAGAGCAAGAAGGCCAAAGGCGACCCCGCCGCTCAAGACCGCCTTGGTCCGCCGTACGCGCACATCTTCGCAGGACTCATGCTCGGACTGTCCAAGACAGAGCCACAGTTGGAGGAGACTCACACGAACAGCCTCACCGAGTTCTGGACCCAGCAAGTGGCAGCAGAGGGCAAGACGCCGCTCGACCTCTTGGGCAAAGTGATGTACTGCAAGTGCAAGGCGGCCAAAGTGAAGGACGGGAAACCAGGCCTCGCGAAGGTGACGATCGCGATGAGCATGGAGTTCGGCGCAGTGCAGGTGGCGATCTTGGCAGCTCTCGTGGCGAACGGAGGCATCAAGAAGCACGGGCCAGCCCCCAGGGGCCCGCTGGAGCGCGCAGCCCAGGAGCTTCTCGCGGTGCTCGAGGGTACACAGTCCAAGAAGAGCTGGGTACGAGCAGGGTTGTTGATGACGTTGTGGAGTTGGAAGTTCTTCCTCGGCAGCCACAGCGATTGACGGCCATCCAGCGTGTTCAGATTGGGCAGTATTCACATCGACTACTACAGATGGTGGAACGTGGTGATGTGACTCTTGAGGCCGCACTCCGCCACCCAGGCGTTGCTGCCGCCAGCTTAGTACTGCAGCCGCCCACGCGGCGGAGGAAAGGGAAGGGAAAAGGGGGGAGGGTGAGTGGCCGTGGTGTTTCTCAGGCCGCTGAGCCTTCTTCTGGGGGCCAAACTCACCCGCCCCCCCCCCGACCCCACACGAAACTTTTTGAGCGATTTTTTGGGAGGGGACTGAGGCTGGAAGACGCACTGCCTATCGTGCCCTGGCTGGTGGGGGTGGCCTTTGTGTCCCCACCTCCCAGGGTTGATGGGCGGCTTCGCCCTCCTGCTTTAGAAACTCTCGCGGTTTTGGTGGTGCGGGGAGGCCCCTCAGCTTGGTCGGCAAACGAGGGTGCCTCAGACCGCCCGTGTAGTGCTCCTGCCTGCACAAGCGGCCACCCAGAAGTTCCTTGCCAGGTCCTCAGGGCGAAGACAGGTTTTTGTTCTGAAGTTATACACTGGTGAATTTACACCAGGAATTGCCCAGGCAACTCACGCGATCAGACGAACCTAGTGCCCCCAGAGCTCGATTCCGATTCCGATTCCTGCGCCACTTGCGCTGGCCGCGCCGCGCTCGATCGAAG